AATTGAAAGAATTTGCAAACATGCTCTTGTTTTCTTGCTTAGTTGTACTGGTGCAACAGAAATTATGTAAATACGCTGAGGAGAACTCCACTCCTCTACTGGTAGCGTTTCCTACGCGGAGCTACTCCGAAAGTTTGGGTTTTTTTTCACAGCCAGAGTTGCCGACCAGCAAAGAGAAAGCTTTATCACCTCATTCGGCAGATCCCATAAACAAACATTACTTGCTTATAACAATAGTTTTCCTTGAAAACAGAACAAAACACCAACCAACCAATATTATTTTGAGAACAGTCTAAATCATTATAAAAGCTGTGTGCAGAGAAAGGCAGAGGAGGGCTCTGCTGCCCTGTTCCGAGTGTGACGCTTGGTTTGGGTTATTTCATTTGGGAAGGAACATGGCAAACATAAATAAAAGGATGACTGCACAAACATAAACCATTTTCTTCAATGAAAAAAGGCTTTCTTCAGTATACACTGCCCACACTGTCTCTTTCCAACACCTCTTTGCCCTTGTGCAATCTTCTGAGTGCAGTACTTATCGTCGAAGCCAGAGAGGGAAACCTTTCCGTCTGATCCGTGGAAGAGGGATCTTGTCCTTCGCTTTATATCTAAACAGGGCAGTGACACGGAAACAAGCTGGAAGCAAAGATTCGAGAGCAGAGAATGAGAAAAGAAAGGGTTCACTGACTCTGCTTCATTCCTCACTCATGTTAATTGGTTGTAAGCTCCAGTTTTAAATAAGGGCGCTTGAAATGACATGTAAACATTTAGAAAACTCTGTGATGTCCTTCTTCAGAATCAAGTGCTGAGTACAAACACCTCATTAGCAGCTTTTTTCTTTCCAAATTTATCCTATTGGATTTTGTCATTTTGGCATATACCTTGAAACAATGCAGGTGACGACTATAATTTACTGATTTTAGACTCTCTCTAACCTTTGTATACTGACCCGTTATGGTGATTTAAAGAGGTGACCAGGTGTAGTAACAGCTACACCATGTGACACTAAAATAATCCACCAGATGCCCTTGGAGTTGATAAAGCACACCTGGGGAATGCACAGTAGCTTCTGAGTTTGGCCTCTTCATCTTGGAAGGGCTGGGGTTTTACCACTGAATGACTAATGCTGGGGATTCACCGTGACGACTAATGCCTTCAGCATTGACTGAATACTGCTCTCCTTGACTTAAAAAGAAGTAAGACTTTAGTGGGTGTGTACTGACCTGCTCCCAGCCAGTGCTCACCAGCTTTGCCCCCGCCAAGTTTTTCTGCACAAGAATGACACACCTGATGCCTGCGCTTCCCCATGACACCGTGCCCAAACGCTCGGTACAACGCCCAACATCATCTCCTCAGAAGAAGCATCCCACTGTGATGCACAGAGCGGCAGCTACGCCTGAAGCCATAAACTCTTGAGACCTGCTTGCATGCAGAGGTGTCAAAAAGGTCCAGGCAAACAGGTTGCATGAGACAAGCAGTTCCCATCTGCCAGGCCAAAACTAACACACCAAACTAGCCACCAAAACAGCAAATACCAACCCATGCTGCTAGCGCAGATTGGGCTGCCGTTATCAACCAAGTAATAATTATGTGGTACAAAGATGAGACCACAGATAAAAAACAAGCATGGCACCGCACAGTGACAAATCTGGTTATAAACACATAGCGCAGATGTACACTGAAACGTCATCAGTTATGCTATTTTCTCCTACCCATCCATTACACTGGGTTCATGCTATGGCTAAGGCAATGTTTTCTGTGTGAGCTTTGAATTGCTTCTGTTCCTCATGTGAACTTGTGTGCTCATGTTTTTCTTCTAATCCTCTTAGGATCACACTGTTTATACTACTTTCTGAGATTTTGGTGCTATTTGAGCTCTAACAACAAACATAGTCATTAAATATTGTGCTTTGCGAATTACAAAAGCCTTCTAAGGACAGAGTATCTTTTCTTCTAAATTATCCTCAAGTATCCTGCTTTTATCTGGATTCAGTATCTGG